TTGAATTTGGTTTAGAGTTATCTCTACAGAAAATTTTTTAGATGATGAAAAATAAACATTCAGAGTTGCTTACCTCCATATTACATTTCTTCTTTTCTCTATATCTAGTTCTTTCGTGAACTTGAAAATGTATTTACAGAAAATAATAGATCTAATACAGACAACAGTTTAGTGTCTCACATGACCATGAAATTTTCTGGCTTCAAATTTCTGTTGTAGTACAATGTCTTGTGTTTCCAAGATGTTTTGATTTTCCTCCTACAATTAGTCTGGACGGGAACTGTTGGGAGCACTGGTAATTAGTTGAGATCAATATTTCAGAGAGGGATAAAAGAAGGAACATGGAAAAAGAAATAATGGCCAAGAGTCAAGTATGCCCTTCTTGGTAGAAAAACTGAATACCGGCTAAATTGTTTTAATACTAGGCCACGTTGGAAGCAATTTATTGGATTTGACTTGAACTGGTTTATGAATTCGGTTTGCTAAGCTTTGTTCCTTCTACTGTGCTCACTCTTCATTGAAAATTTTCAGAAATGTATACCATTGCCCATTCTGCAATCTATGCCGTGTTGGGAAGGGCCTTGGTATTGATTTCTTCCATTGCATGAAGTGCAATTACTGCCTTACCATAAAGTTGGTAGACCATAAATGCCTGGAGAAGAGCCTGGAAACAAATTGCCCAATCTGTTGTGATTTTTTATTCACATCAAGTTTGAGTGTGAGAGGCCTTCCGTGTGGACATTTCATGCATTCGAGCTGCTTTCAGGTATATTCTTTACTCCGGTTCCCTGTTAAATTTGTTGATTGCAAGATTGGCAGGCTTTTCTGATTCTATTGAGTTTATGTTTTGCCTTTTCTTTTGACAGGCATATACTTGCAGTCATTACATGTGTCCGATTTGTAGCAAGTCAATGGGAGATATGTCGGTAAGTTTGTATGACAATCATGCATTTCGGTTGGTCTTGTTGGTAACTTTTCTTTAATCATAATCTTCTTGTAGATGTTGCCAAGCTCAAGCTCTTGCAATGCAATGCTGCTACACTTTTTAACTCTTATTTGAAGTCTTGTAACTTTCATACTGTAATGAGCTGGTGTTACTGTGTTTAGCATGTTGTGATATATGTGCATTAGCATTACAAATACTATTCTATTACTAGAAATGGCTATGGGGTGTGGTTGGACGGGTAACCTCATTACCCATTCCTGCCTCTTACCAAGTACTAGTCAGGTTGCTGTAATGTGTAACGGGGCAATGGTCATCGTAAGTTGACCTGTTCTTACATGTGATAAGAGTAAACATTAAATAGAATTGAGACAGAACTCATTGAGAATGTGGTAGGATGGGCATACCTCGCCCCCACTTACCTGCCCAAAACATATCAGAACAGGTTAGGTCAGGTTTCAGATTGAATTTTGTCATCCCTAGCTATTATGACTTCTTATAATGCTCAACAACTGCTAAGTTTTTCAAGTGTTTATCAGGACTTGGTTGTATTGTCAATTGGTAGTGGAATGTGAATAGAGCTGTCCCTAGTGTGTTTCAGGTTTATTTTGGGATGCTTGATGCCCTATTGGCTTCTGAGGTGCTACCTGAAGAATACAGGGATCGTTGTCAGGTAACTACCTCGTAATTGTTTCAGAATGTTTTATATTTGGAATCTAGGATGGATATTAAGTAAAGTGGAAAATCCAGGATATTCTGTGCAATGACTGCGACAAGAAAGGAAGTGCACCGTTCCATTGGCTTTACCACAAGTGTGGTTCCTGCGGTTCCTACAATACCAGGGTGATTAGGACCGATTCCAACTGCTCGACCCCAAGTCAGAGGCAGAGCGAGTGAGATCAGCTGGTACCAAACGTTCAATCGGCTTTACCGCATGTGGAGGTTCCTGCAACACCAGGGTGATTAGGACCAATTCCGACGGCTCGACTACAAACCAGAGACAGAGCAAGTAACAGAGCCAGTATCACTTCTAACATGTTTCCTCCGTCCAATATAGGTGTGTATATATACTCCACGTTTTTTACAACTTGACTGTACATTATAACAACCACTACTTCTATTCCCTGCGAACTTCTACAAACCGAAGTCCTTCATCCTTCCCCACCTGCATAAGTTTTTGAACCAGTTTGAGACAGGTGGGTGAGGCGGTATGAGTAGCTGATAATTGGACTTCTGTTAGTGTCCTGTTTTGTGATATTAAAATCATTTTTCGTTGCCTGAAAATGAACGAGCATGGGATGATAATATAAAACACAATGCTGGCGATTCTGCAGAACTGGAATTCTCTCTACAGGTTAACTCTTATTCGATCTCCTTAGTTGCTTGAATTTGTGAGGTTTTATCCGATAATCGTTCATCGATGCACTTCAAATTTTCTGTCAATATCTGGAGCTTGGGGGGACTCTTCTTGCTTGTGAATCAAGACGGGAACTTGGGAATCCGTCTATACTGCAATCGTCACCATCCCCAAGTACTATGCTTGCAATCTATGCGGATTGATGAATTGTAGAACGTTTGTTTGTTTACGGAGTAGGGATGTTCGTCTTGTCTTGTGGGTGGCCGCGGGAGTCGCCCCATAGGTATGAACTAAGGTAAGCTCGATGACGGACTTCCCAGACCTTATAGCGTCGTAAGCATTCAAAGAGTTTGCAACCCTTTATTGGAAATTGGGTGTTACTGTCATACTGTGACAGCTATATCGTTTCGAGCTACTTCTCGCACTCACCTTGCATGGTTTCTTTCATCTACCTTAAACGTCAGTTATGCAATCGAGCTAACATTTGCAACATTCGAACTTGCTAGTAACTAAAGGAAAGTAACTCGATTCTACTATAAATCACAGCGTATCTCAGCGTACAGTTGTGCAACACCACGATTGTCTAGCAATTACAACTATCTGATAGCCAAATGCGTACGCTTTAGTAGTGTAAACCACCCACCCAAGATCTTTATGAAGCTGCATCTCATAAAACAGCTAGCTAGGGCACAGAGTGAAGTGCTTGCAGCAGCAGCAGCAGCAAAACCTTTAAGCGCAGTACATAGACAAGCAATCATTCGTTTTCGTAACCTTATAGAGACGAGTCATTTTCTTTCCTTGGAGCGCCAATGTATTAGAGGATCCAGGACACTCTTTTCACTCTTCTTCACATCGGATTTACAGAGGTGGCTTTAATCCAAACTAGGTGCCTCCTCAGTTGGATTGGACTCGAAAACAGACTCACCAGGTTCTTCCAAAACATCCCCTGTTTGGGTGGACTCTTTGTATGCCGGAGTGTCCTTGAAATCAGTCGCTCCTTCGTTGTATGTAGCCACAGCAACGCCACAAGCTATCAACTGCGCGTAAAAATGAGAATTGAGCAAACCAATCTGACAAAGATCCATACTTGGGTCTCTCTCTCGAACTACAACTCCAGTTATAGGGATCAACCAAATTCTTTGACATCGAAGGAGACATAAAACCAAATGAAAAGAGGGAGAGAGAGAGTTATATACCGAGAAAACAATACCCAGAGCCCACAAATACTCGACGGCGAAGCCGAGAGTATCCCACTGCGGGCCTTCCCAGAAGTCCTTTTCGTCCCCTGGGAGCTTCGGCATCACAAAACCGTCGTCAGCAACACTACTACTGCTGAAACCAGCGCTGCTCTCAACGCCGTCTGGTGAGGATCCGAATTCGGCCTGATCAGAATTCGTGTTCCGTTTCTCCCCCAACTTCTCGGTGGTTTTGATGGAGCCCCGCCGACCCTTGGCGGAGACTATGTGGAGGAGGTGAGATCTCCTGGGGGAGAGCGGCAGGGGAAGCCGGACGCCACCACGGTGGGGGAAGTAGTTAGACGACAGATGGCGCTGTACGGAGGTGGCTGCGGTGATAGCTCCGGCGGAGAGGGTTTTGGCGCCATTGCCGCCGCTGGCGACGAAGGTAGACATGGGAGCGGAGCGGATTTCTGGATTGAAGTTTGAGGCTGTGGAGAGGTTTTGAGTGGGCAGTGTACCATTGGCGGGTATTGATCCTTTTTTGTTATCTTCGTTCTGACACGTCGGCCTTTTCTCTTTATTAAATTGTTTTTCGTTGAATTTCCTTTTTATTAGATCTTCCTGATTTTTTTTTTTTTATTTGCTTGTGACATCAATTGATTCAAATTCTACGATATATTGACCATCGCTTTAGGATTGTAAAATATCCATACTCATCCACTTGAATCTGCCTTTTAACTCATCATATTTTTCTCAATATAATTATTAATCAATTATACATAAATAAAAATTTCCATGAAATTTTGTTTTATCTACTTTTCATCGTTAATGCCAACATATGTGTGATTGAATTCAACAAAAAAGAAAAAAAAAGTGTGATTGTCAACATGTTGGTTGAAATTATAAAGAGATATTATTGTTCGTGAATAATTGTAGATACTCGAAACTCGATCGAGTATGTGTATGACTTTGAATTTTGATATTCTGCTTGATTCTTGTATGGATATGAATATGTGTAAAGCCCAAATTATTTTGGGTAGAATAATGGATATGCATTATTTGCACCGACGCAATTAGTCGTCATCCCTACATTATTTGGATAAATGAATTGTGTATTACAATTAAAATTTTATTTGAGGGAAAGAATTAGACTTGATCGTTTGGGTCAATAAAAATTAAGAATTCAAGAGTTTAGATTTTTTTTCCCCGTTGGTTGTTGTCTTTAAGATTCAAACTCATGTGTGACCGATGTTTTGATCCCATATTTTCACTAGGTCAAGCCAAGGTATAAGCAAAAAAAAAAAAACAAATATTAGTCTTCCTCTAAAAAATTCATCCAAACTACGACATTTTAATGACATTCTCAATCTAAATTCCACTCAACTCAAGTATTCTATTATATTTCAAGATTCATTCATGCAAATCAACTCTAAATAGGAGAGTGCAATGGTTTGATCAGGATCAGACAAGATCGAATTCATGAGAATCACGGTCTAATAGTGAAAAACAATTTAGGATTAAGGACTAGAACAACAGTGTATTATATGCGATTTGGTGCGTCGATTTTTTTTCCTCCGTGTTTATAAATTTCATGAGTCCAAGTACCACAACACATTATATTTAGTTTAGTATGATCCTATCAAAACGTCATTTTCATCCGTTGTGATCCTGTACGGGACAAACCGTTTCACATCCCTACCTTTAAATAACAACGAGGAGAGAAACATTGGAATCTATTTAGCTCATAAACACGTAACTGTTACTATAGCTATGTTTAAGCGGGTAAGGAATCAAAACAGTAAAATCAACGAAAATACATTTCCATTATTTAGTTCATAGTAACAGAATCTGCATAGATCACATGCAGAAGACAAAAAGTTAGGTTCATAGACTACGAAGAAGAAGGCCTTCAAAGGTGATTCCAGGCCCAAAAGCCAATCCCAGCCCCCATTCTTCCTTATATTCTCCTCCCTTCCTCTCCTTCTTCTTCATCAGCTCTTCTCTCATATACTCCATCACATAAAAGATGGTGTTGCTGCTCACATTCCCATAATCCATCAACGCCCTCCTGCTACAATCCAACTTCCCTTCCTCCAACCCAAGCTTTCCCTCCAACCGGTTCAGTATCGCTGGTCCACCCGGGTGAACCGCCCAGAACAACTCATTAAACCCAACCCCACAATCCAACCCACCATTCCTCATCAGCTTCCTACAAAACTCCTCAATCTTCCCCTCAATCTTCTCCGGCAGATCCCTGCCGAGCTTGAAATTGATCCCTTCCTCCGACAGCCGCCCGTCGATCACCCCGTGGGTCCCGGGGAGAAACTCCTGCACCGCGTAGCTCAGCTCCATGAACGGCTCCTCCTTCTTCCCCTCCACCGGGTCCGCCCCCACCACAACGGCGGCGGCGCCGTCGCCGAACAGCGCCGCCCCGACGAGGTCGTAGGGGCGTGCCTTGCTCGGCGGACGGAAGCCGAGGATGGTGGTCTCGGAGGTGGCGAGGAGGACGCGGCTCCCAGGGTTGTTCTCCGCGATGTCCTTGGCGACGCGGAGCCCCGTCACGCCGCCGTAGCAGCCCAGGAAGTAGAGCATCACGCGCCCCACGTCGCTCCGCAGCCCGAGGCGCGTGGCGAGGTGGAGGTCCCCACCCGGGAGGCGGATCTCGCTGGATGACACGTAGACAAGGTGGGTGATGTCAGTCGCCGGCCGCCCCCATTCCTTGATGCACGCCAGGCTGGCGTCCGCCGCCATGTCGACCACCGCCGGGTTTGCGATCTCCAGCCTCTGCCTGATCGTCGGCGAACCTTCTGTCGCCAGCTCCGGGTACTTGTCTAGTATCTCCCTGGACATCACGGTGAACCTACGCTTCACGGTTGTCGTTTTGCCTATGTTAACACAAATATAATGGTCAAACACTCGAAATTAGTAACGAACAAAAGAAGAAGAAAAAAAAAAGATGTGAGTATTTTGGAGAGCATACGTACATAACCGTTCGAGTTTCTCTTTGATAGCAGGGTCGTCGCATTTGGTGTCACGAATGTAACCTTCGACCAGACATTCTTGAGGAATGAGCTGACTTGGGAAAGCCTTGCCGATTGCGAGCAGAGTTGCCTTTCCTGGCGTTGGGGCGCGTCTGAGTGCAGCGAGATTGTGGTCGCCATTTTTCTGTGACATTTTTTGTTTGTTTGAGGGGAGATAGAATGGTTTTGGGTGATTTGTGTATAACTGATGTGATGGTGGTATTAGTAACACAAAAGATGTGTGAAGTAGGGGGAGGGGATATAAAGGAGAGAGGTTTGGGGATTTCGTAGGAGTGAAGTTGGTGCCAAAGTGAAAGTGGCATGAGGGGCATTGAATTGGAACGATATTCTCTACTTATTTAGGGTTGGTGACATTTTGTTGGTTTTTTGGGCTAGGTTGGTTTTAGGTTGGTCTCTATACTATTTCTAATATCAATCTTTTCGTGACTTTGGTCGCCCAATAATAAATTCGATTTCCGAGAAAATATTTAAATAATAGTATTAAAGATAATGTATGCAACTAAACTTTTTATGGGACAAGAACGAATGATGCATATTCTCTTAAGATAAAAAAAACATATATCACTTTTATTATATTATGGTTTTCCCCCCAAATTGACTAAATAGGAAAATTACAGACTTACCGTATATATATCACCACATACACTTTGTAATTGATCGCTGCTTTGTATCAGATACTCCGTAAAATCATACCTATTTCCACACCAAACTAATTTGGCTAAACCCCATACAACTATGCCTAACTCATAATTGTAGGAATTCCTTCAAACTAGAATGGAGACAAATACTGTATTAGGGCTGGGAAACGGTGCGGTCTGGTCCAGACCAGACCATATATACGGTCTATGGTCCAGACCGAGAGGCTAAAGTATAGACCACAGACCAGATCACATACTATACGGTTCGGTCCAGACCACGCCTATGCGGTCTGGTTTGGTTTGGTCTGGTCCAGATAGACCACACTCAACGAAAAATGAATAATTTGCTTAGTCAACCACACAAAAAATTGAACCAATAACAAAGAAAAAATATTGTTATTTGCCTTAAAACATTAATCCTAACATGCACGAATAATTTTGATACTCTAAATCTTAGTACATAACAAAAATACAAAGTAAAAGCATCCCAACTTGCACCATAACGTCATAAACATTAACATAATATCATATGGAGAGTAGGGCTGCAAACGAGCCGAGTCGAGTCGAGTTTTTGCTTAGCTTGAGCTCGGCTCGTTTCTTAATTTTTCAGCTCGAGCTCGGCTCGAACTCGAATTTTGATAATCCAGCTCGAGCTCGAGCTCGGCTTGAATAAAAATAATCTAGCTCGAGCTCGACTCGGTAGAGCTCGATAAATGCTCATTAACATAGCTTGTTAAGCTGAGTATAAGCTCGGCTCAAGATGAGCTCGATTTAAAATCATTTTTGCTGGAAAAATGTATAAACATAAGAATTTAAATGATAGAAAGAACACTAGAAACTAGAAATAACATCTAAATTTCATACACATCTGTATTATAAGACAATGTTCATATTTAAAAGAGTAATTCATCCTTCCACAAGCTCAAAACAAGGCAGCTCGCGAGCTTAGCTCGACAAGCCACCGAATCAAGCTAGCTCGCGAGCTTATCAAGCCGAGCATGGTCTAGCTCAGGCTTGGCTCGTTAACTAACGAGTTGGCTCGCGAGCCGGCTTGTTAAATAACGAGTCGAGTGTCGAACGAGTTTTTTCCGATTCGAACGCCGAGTTGCTCGCGAGCGGCTTGGCTCATTTGCAGCCCTAATGGAGACATGATTATCTCTACTCTCTCGTTAAATGTGGTTGTGAATGAAGGAGGGACGAGATTCACAAAACTAAGGTTGAGACTTGGGTGTCGTTTGGGAGTTGGGAGAGTGGTCGAATGGGCTGTTAACACGTATTGACAAGTCAGTTTGGTCCACGGTTTGGTCCGGTAAACCGCGGTCTAGACCAGACCAGACCAGACCAAGAAATCAAAACATAAAATAATACAGACCATACTTAACGTTCTACGGTCCGGACCAAACTGTGCGGTACAGTTTGGACCACGATTTTTCTAACGGTCTGGTCTATTTTCCCAGCCCTATACTGTACTATTCGCAAGAGCTGTTATCACTTATCACTACATAAGGGTGTTATGACTTTCGTCAAGTCAATATAGTCATTTGATGAAATAATATCAATCTAGGGGTCGTTTGCTTCAAGGATTTGGTACATGGATTTGGTACCAAAAAACCAACTATCAAGGATTTAGGTACAATCCATTGTTTGCTTGCATCTTTTTTGGAGACCAAATCCGTGGGGCCCACGGATTTTAAGGGTCCAAATCCGTGGACCCCACGGACTTATAAATCCCACATGTTGATGTGGGATTTGGAATATGGCATAAATCCTTGATGGCATTTTACCCATATACCCTCATGCACTTTTAATATTCCAAGGTTGCCCTCAAATTTAACTATTATACATTATAATTAACAATAAATGAATAATATAAACGTTCAATTAATGTGCAAACATGAGTTAGATTTTTTATATAATTTCTTGTGTTCTAGTTTTCTTTGACCTTTTCATGGAACGTGTAATTCTTTGTTCTCCCGATTCTAATATATGTTGTTATATGTTACTTTTGAAAAGGAGGACAAAGAATTGGTAATTGATTATGTTATGTTAAAAGTTAAAACGAAATTTTCTCGTTTATTATTATTGTCCATGTGGCAACATTATGCTTATTAGTATGTATTATCCTTGTTTTGTGCACATATCATAAACATGTCAAACATATAGAAAAGGGCAGTAATGTAATTTTTGACTTCAAGTAGTAAATCCCACACTTTTAAATCCATGATAAAAACATCCCAACAAACAAAGGATTGTTACAAATCCATGATGCCTCAAATCCTTGATAAATCCTTGGGTTTTTAAATTACAAAACCCTCGTTTATAAATCCATGAAGCAAACGACCCCCTAAGTACTCATATTTATGACGCCAATTGAAAATTAAATATTATATTATTTTATAAACATTTCTTCATTGTTGGATTTCTAGAACTTGAATTTGGTCATCAGTGTCATGATTTCGGTGAGATCGATGATTTGACACTCAACAAAATAAACAATGCACTCTTTTTAAAATTTCCCTTTCCCTATTCACAAATCTCAAGGTTCAAAATCACATACATAGAGATAGGAAACTGTGAGGTTGCAGTTAACTGCACAACAATTGGCGGTTAACTGCAACCGCAAAGTGCTAATATTAGTCAACCACAACCGCACCTGCTACGGTTAGCGGTTAACTACTAACCGCAAATTGCGGTTAACGGTGTGTCGCGGTTAATGGCATCACCAATCGAGTTAACCATGTCTGTGCATCTACGTCTCTCGAATGGTCGCGTCATTAATGTCGACGAGCATAGCAGATGTGGAGAGGACGACGGCGTGTGCTTCGCCTCTGGAATGGTCGCGCCGTCGACGAGCATAGCAGATGTGGAGTAGAGTAGTTGGATGCACCTAACCATCGAACTCGAATCGAGTAGTGACGACGGCGAAGAAGGGTTATGGACGAGAAGGGACTGTGACGGAGGGATTTCCGGACGACGGGTCTAGGTTCTACTATGGAATGGTCGCGTCATCGCGGTCGCGATTGTATGGAACTAGGGTTTCCTTTTTTCGATTTGGGAAAGTGGATGAAGAAAGAATTCGTAAGCTGGGGTTTGGGGGATCCGGGAACTGTGGTGGAAGGGGCCGGATCGACAGTGGGCTAGTGGGCTTGGGGTGGGGGTTTGTTGGTTGGGTTAAATCGCAAACCGCAAAAGACTCATTATCCACGACCGCAACTGCAAAAGAGGTTGTTTTGCGCTTTGTGGTTAACCATTAACTGCGTGGTTCGGTGCGGTTAGCGGTTTAACCGCACAACTATAACAAAATTCCCAGTCCTACACATACATGGCCAAAAAGTTGTATCAATTGAACACTCGAGCTGTCAGAGCACCAAGTTATAACTTATAAGGGTTAATATATTTGTATGACCTGAACTTTTCACATAATAAACATCATGACCAATCTTTTCGATCTATAATATCATGGCCTGTACTATACACCAAAGTAACGAAATTGGCCAAACTCGAAAATTGACCGTTATCTTGGACGGTCAAACGTGTTGACTACGGTCAACATGCCACATCATCGCCAAGTCAACACCTTTCACTAACTTTTTTATATTGTCCACCTATTGCTATTTATTATTTTCATTTGAATAAAAGAATTTGAAAATGATTTTTTTAAAGTGAAATGAAAATGAATTTTGTTCATTTTTCAAATTTGTAAGTTAAATTCATTTTTCCTTCTAAAAAATTCATTTTCAATTTTTTTCATTCAAAATATAAAAATAAACAGTAATAAGAGGAAAATATAAACATTTTAAAGTGAAATGTGCTGACTTGGCAGTGATGCGGCTCGTTGACCGTTAGTCAACGCGTTTGACCGTCCAAGATAACGGTCAATTTTCGGGTTTGGCCAATTTCGTTATTTTGGTGTATAGTTCAGACCATGATGCTATAGATAAAACAGATTGGCCAGGATGTTAATTATGTGAAAGGTTCGGACTATATAAATATATTAACCCAAGTTATAATCCTTATATAAAAATATGCTGAGGTTGAATTTCCTCGTTGGCTACCTGGACGTTGGTAATGAACTAATGATATGTTCTCAATTCCCTATCTGACATGACATGCTGGGAAAGAAATATAGTGAATTAATTTGAATGGTAATCTGAATTCTTCTATGTTTATGTTTTGGGTTGAGGACGGAATCTTACGACGAAAACCAGAACACTATTGCAATTTGCACGTAATCCCGATTCTGTATCTTAAAAAGGACAAAAATTTATAAAAATATACCGAAAAGGAAACTAACCCACATATACCCCTGAATTCACGTCGTGCTGCAGCCTGCAAAGCAGCAGCTGATTAGATTTAGAAGAACAAGCGGAAGTAAAAAGGAGACTCAGCAGCAAGGGGACAAAAGCCAACCGAGAGACAGAACCAAGGTAAACAAACCCTCTTCCAGCTGCCAAAACCAGAATGCTCGCTTTTCAGATTACAGTTTGTCCGAGAAAGGTTTCAAAAACCCTACCCGCCATTTTCTATCTTGCTTCTCTATTGGGTTTTCTGGATTGAATTCGAAATTTCGTTGCGACTTTCTACAGTTCTGTAAAGTTAAAATTTTGTGTCCCAGTTTTACAAATTAAGCGATTTACTTTATTGATCTTCCCGAGAAGAGCAAGTACAGAGGGATCCGATGAATTGCTTTGAGTTGTGCGTAATTTTCCCGAAATTCCAGTTCCAGTGGATCCGATTTTTGAGGAATTAAGCGCTCTGTTTTCTTGGGGGGTTTTAGATTTGCAGGGGGCACTAAGCGGTGAATGAAAAGATTATTTCTTTGGATTGAAAGGGTTTCAGAGGAGAAAGATAGGTGAGAAAGACCGAGGAGAGAGCGTGACAGAAGAGAGGGATAGGTGGAGAGTGAAGGGCTGAGATGAGTTCGAAGAAGGCGGAAAGCGCTTCATCAGGTGCAGCTCCAGCAATTCGGCGCGACCCGTATGAGGTTTTATCTGTTTCAAGGGATTCTACCGATCAAGAAATCAAAACCGCGTACAGGAAACTTGCTCTGAAGTAAGTTCTTATACTTGTCAATTCTTCAGAAAGAAAAAATCCATTTATTATGGTTACGGAATTGTTGGGCTTTTCTTGATTGCAATCTTTGTATGAATGGGTTTAGAGAACTTGCCAGTTGGAGTTCAATTTTGTTCATGTTAGCTATACTAGCTAAATGAGCTTGTGGAATGACGGATGAAGATTTGCCAGGCGAGTTGTAAAGGCTTTTTCTTTAGAGTAGCTATTGTATTGAGATGCTGTAAATGTTTACAGAGTATAAAACCCAACTTAGATTTGCAGTGTGCTCATGACAGACTCCCGCTTGATGTTACCTACACAGTTTGAATCTGCCATTGGTTAGTAGTTATAGCGTTTTCCCTCATGGGCAGAAGGAGCCTGGCACTCATTTGCAATCATAGGGATAAGGCTGGATGCTGGGAGTTGCTTGTTTCGAGTTTGTCAATATGGTTTAGTGTGTATATATTTCTGTAAGCTGGGATTGGATACAAAGTAAGCAAGTTATAGCATGAAGTGAAATAGTGAAGAGTTGAGTGATGGAGAGGGTGGTATAAGTGGAGGTTGTTTGCTGTTTTGGTAGGAAGAAAATGTGATGGTATGTTTAAGAGGGGGCAAGGGTTTAGCCCTCCATGTGCGTCTGCTGCTGATAAACAGAGATATGAAATTAGTTCTCAGGTGAACAAACAATGAGAAGTTACTCTTCCAACCATATGGGGTCTGGAGAAATGTATTCAATATAAAAATAATGAAAATTTCCATTTTTCCTCAAGGTGCTGGTTAATTAAGGAAATAGAACCTCTCGTTAGCAAGTGTTTTAGCTTCATAGCAAGTCTAATTGATTCTCCTTATTCCTTTTTGGTGCATTCTCCTAAGCTGTATGTGTTTTTCTAGTTTGATAAGTGGCCATCTTTAATCTGGGTGATTTTTTTTGTTAGATTAATCAACATTCATTGATTGAGTGATGTAAATCATGGCCAGGTATCATCCAGACAAGAATGCCAACAACCCGGAAGCTTCAGAACTTTTCAAAGAGGTTGCGTATTCCTACAGTATCTTATCTGACCCAGAGAAGAGAAGACAGTATGACAGTGCAGGATTTGAGGTGATCTTTCAATATGCTATTATCTTTACCTTTCCTACCGATAACTATTCTACATTTCTTATGCTAAGCGTGCTTTTGCCTAATCATAATGGAAGAGAGCTTAGGCTTATGTCACAATTTAGAAAGGCCGTCTTTTATATAATCAAACATGTGGAGTACCAGAGAACTTGCATGCTGGGTTCTCATGTATATAAAGACCATTTGGGTATTGGCTTCATGGCCTAACTTCTAAAGCTCATTTATTCCACTATCTTGCCAAATTCATATGGAACAGAAATATTCTAGCGGAACTGGTGTAGCTCACCATAATCACATAGGTGCAGCTCCACATTTCCTTGAATAGATCATATTGGCACAAACCACCATCCTTCTTCTGTAGATATGCATGCACAGGAAAGAGAGAAAGGGATGAGAGTGGGTGGGGGTTAGGGTATAGGAAATGGTACTGCCTTGCTATGAAGATCCATGGTTATTTTGATTGTGAAGAAATTCGTGGTGTAAGGTGTTAATAGCAAGGAGCATGCTGGCCAGTCTTTCGATCCCTTACAATTGCATGAATAGCTTGTTTGTTCTGTATGTACCTTCATTGGGTTTGAGTGATATCTGTTCTTATATTCTGGTACATTCTTCATATTTGTGCAGTAGCAATATGTTCACGGAAATTTTGGAAACACCTAATAGGCTAATATGTAAATTTTAAATTTTTTCCCCAACCAGGCTCTAGATGCAGAAAGTATGGACATGGAAATTGATTTGTCAAACCTGGGAACAGTCAATACAGTGTTTGCTGCATTATTCAGGTATTTTTATGGTGGTAATTCTGGTAATCTTCAGCACTAGATGTTTTTGATACTTGGAGTTTCACATGAATCTTTCTGAAATTATTTCAATCGTTCTAGCAAGCTTGGCGTTCCTATTAAGACAACAATTTCTGCTAATGTACTCGAAGAAGCTCTGAATGGGACTGTTACAATCAGACCCCTTCCAATGGGCACATCAGTCAGCGGAAAGGTGCGGTGCTCTCTTTGGAAAGTCTCTTCTTTTGCCTGATGGTGTTCTATTATGTACATTCTGAGCTGGGTATTAGTGGATGAATTTCAGGTAGAAAAACAATGTGCACACTTCTTCGGTGTAACCATAAGCGAGCAACAAGCTGAATCAGGGATTGTTGTGAGGGTTTCTTCAAGTGCACAGAGCAAATTTAAGGTTGTCTGAACACAAAGAAAACTAGTCTTTTCTTTTATGTCTGGTAAAGTTCCGAGTAATATTAATGATGCAGGCTCAGCCTTTCCCTTTTCCAATTTCAGTTGCTTTATTTTGAACAAGACGTGAATGGTGGCTATGGTTTAGCGCTACAGGTACCTTCATATCTCATTCATTCTTTTGTGGTTTCTCTTTCCCCCAGGTTGTCTTGAAATGAATCCTCTGTTATAACTGAATACTTATTTCATACAAATTGATACTTTCACTCGGAAGAGTTTGTGATATGTCTTCTTATCTCATAATTCCCATCTTTGTTTGATGTTTTGAGAATCATGGTGTTCATTAAGTACCCCCCAAGTTATTAAAACTAGTTTCTATAGATGACGGTGTTGTTTCTTCCTTATTTGCTTGCTTTAAATTCATTTCCTGCTTTTACAATGCATTTTAGGGACAAGATTGTCTGTAATGGGCTTTCTTGGTGCATCTCAAAGCTTCCAGTGGTGCCTAACCCTGGGCTCAGTCCGGCCCTAGCTTTGAGGCCCTAACATTCAGGATATCCGACATCATTCATTTGGAACTTTTGAACATTTAATCTGGGTGTTTTGGTTCGCGACCAAGTTTGTAATGCTAATAGTCTGAGCATTACATATTTGAAGGCCATCTACCAAGTACTAATTGGTGCTACTCATAAATAAAACAAATCAGCGTAGGCAGTCAGGTCCACTATGTCCAATTAGTGTCCGCTAATTTGGTTTTCTCTTGGGGTTATGAGTTTATGTGGTCTTGTGCTAGTGAATGCAGGAGAACTTATACTGGAGAAATTTTTATGGATCGCTGCGTTGAGCTTTAAGTTAGAGTGTGTTCTTCCCTTTACTTGTAGATCTCTATTGTTCATCATGGAAATTCAGTTGTTGGGAATACAGGGAATGGGTAAGCTCATGGCTTCGTGGAAAAATTCAGGTTTTCGTGCTTGTGAATCATCCATCATGTGATATCAGGGGTAGATGACACTTATTGTACCCAGCTTTCAGAATTCAGAATTATGGACCTTTATCCGCCAGCTAATGAGTTATTTTAGTTATTATAGGAACACACTAATACCTTGATATGACCAAAAATTTATAGATTTTTGCTTTTTTCGATGTGGGTGCTCGAATGCTCTCACCCTTCTGCCAATCTTATTTTGCTACCTTTTCCTATCTACTTTTGTATTGTTTTCGTGTATTGATAACTGCTTTTAACTCCTCAAAGTTATCACCAGCTTTATAATTCATTTGTATTATATCTTTTTGCTTCTGCAGGAAGATAGTGAGAAAACAGGCAAGGTGACATCTGCTGGCATGTATTTCTTGCATTTTCAAGTTTACAGAATGGATTCAACAGTGAATGCGGTATGCGCTTTAAAATGACTTTACCCTTTCCTTTGCTTGATTTTATTTTTTCGAAATATCAACATCTAAGATTATTATCTATCATGGTGCAGTTAGCAATTGCTAAGGATCCCGATGCCGCATTTTTTAAGAGGTTGGAAGGTCTACAACCTTGTGAGGTTTCGGAACTCAAAGCTGGCACTCATATATTTGCTGTTTACGGTCTGGACAACCTTACCTGGTCTCTTAAAGTTTTACTTAACCTTTCAAAGAATTATAAATTTGTCTGATTGCTCTTCTGCAAACCTTTTCAGGAGACAATTTTTTCAAGACGGCTACATATACGATTGAAGCACTTTGTGCAAAATCATATGAAGATACAACAGAAAGGCTCAAGGAAATAGAGACCCAGATTTTAAGAAAAAGAAATGATCTACGTCAATTTGAGACTGAATATAGGAAGGTATATCAGTTGATATTTCTGACGCTTAGCCATATCAAGCATTTGATCTTTCGTTTGTCTCGTGTGTCTCATAGAAATCTCTCTGCAGGCCTTGGCGCGGTTTCAGGAAGTAACCAACAAATACACTCAAGAAAAGCAAGCTGTATGTTTCAGTACTTCCCTCTTGAATGTCTCTATTCTGCATTTCCCCCCCTGTTTTCTATACATGTGTTCGTAAGTGTCCGAGTTAGTAGGATCTGTGCTTAATATGGAATAGAGCCATGTTTTACTAGGGATTGAGTTTGCTGAAACTGCTGATGTGACAGTCTGGACCCATTTAGAACTAGGGTCGATGGTCTACTGACAAGCTTATTTCGTGTCACTTAGTTCTTCATATGGTACATGCTTCAACATTCCTGCTTTCTCTGAGCTTTCATTGTTGTTGTAACTGCAGGTCGATGAGCTGCTAAAACAGAGAGATACCATTCACTCGTCATTTACAGTCAACAGATCGGTTAGTAATATTAGCAACGGAAGCTCGAGCAGAGTTGTTGGCGACGATATGAGATGTGAGAGCCCAGGGCATGGGGAAGAAGGTGGTTCCGACGGTAAAGATAAAGCATCTAAAAAGAAATGGTTCAACTTGAACCTGAAATCTGATAAGAAGTTGTGAGTGGGAAAAAAGAGCCAGCCATATCAGGTTTGTTTTGGTGTTGAACTTAAAAGAGGCTTGAACGACTGGCCGCCATGTTTGGGGTCGTAAGCTTTGGCCCCTCTGGTTCCCACCAAGTAAAAGGCTCATGCCTCGTTCAAAACTTCCCCCCTTTCCCTTTTTTTTTACCTTCCATTGTCTTCCTTTTTGAAAAGGTGGTGTATAATTGGATTTTATAATTGTGTTTGCGAGGGTAAGTTTCACTGTTAGAAAGGCAATTTGTATGTATTATGATTCCAATTTGTTTATTTTCAATCTTCTATTTTGACATTTTGAAGTGGGCTTATAGCCTTCTGGTCTCTGTTGTAAACAAATTTGTAGATCAATTCCCTTTTAGTTGATTGCATAAACCCTCAGGTGCTTTTGTTTCTATTCCCCTTCAAAAGTTTGAGTTTGTGCTGCATAATTCAGGGTAGTAGCATATCTCATGCAAAGCCTCCAGTGGATAGCCCGAGAATATGTCGAGAAAACTGAGCATTTTGTTGTGATGCTTTTGCTCTTTGGTTGGAACAATGAATGTTTGGGAGTTATTGCCAACTTGTGTTCTGTGTCTTCTAACTTGATACTTTGCATGTCTTTAACTCAAGTGGCCAGGTCCATGACTTCAAATGAGTTTGGTACGTCGCACCAGTCGAAATTTGCATATACTTTGCCCTATACCATTCATACTTAGTTTTCATGTAGGGTTAGAGACAACTTAGTGTCTGTGGATGTAATAATACAAACCGTGTACGAAATAGACCTATTTCGAAGACGATTACATGCAATTTGACATTTATCTACTGCCATCTTCTACATTGTTGGATAATGATCGTGTTTGATTGACAAATGATCTGAAAGTATTTGTTAAGCTTATTTCTGTTATGACAAATTTGAAGGGTTGTAATCTACGTGTATATTATCGATGTGGTTAACTTGGTAGAACTACAAATGATAATGGTATTGAAAACTTTACCATTGTTTATGTTGGATGATATAATCATGCTTGAATATTTGCCAATTGAGATAGGATGCAACAATCCAAGAATATGTCTACATTGATTGGATATTTACAACCATTGTGACTTCCCAATAATGATAGAGACCAGCCTATAAGGCTATAACCACACTTATAGATTAACCCATCGCCATCGTTTGAACAGAAGCACAAGTGAATGAAGCCTTTTTCTTTCTCTTGGTACTACAATGATTCAGCTGATAGACAAAGAATGTAGACATCAGACACATTAATTGAAAGTCTATATAGTTTAGTTAGGCACCATGTTATGTTAATAGCATGACTGATATTAAACCATTACGTGTTGGTTTAGAGGAGGAAATCCTGTGAGAGAGACATGATGTGTACAAAAAAAAAGCAGTCACTTCACATGACTAAAAAAGCCAACTAGCTCATCCAACGAACAACCCTGACTTTTAACTACTTTTAAATTCTTGGTAATCACAATTAGTTAACTTGAATCAAGTAGTAGGTAGTGTCTTACTTGGTCATATATACCCACAATGTTTGGATTGATGACATTTAAAAAAAAAATATTATGTCCAATTTTAGATTTTCTACTATTTGGTGACACAAATGATATTATATGGAGTCGGTACAACTTGCTTAGATGATAGATTCATATTCTTAGTCTCATATTTCACGACGGCAGAAATAGCTACAAGTCTCATATTCTTAGTCTCATGTAGAATCCTAATTCCCTACTATGAGTATTTTGGAAATTTATAGACACTACAAGAAAACTTAGTTTTAGAGACAAATAATTAGAAACAATTAACATAATAGTCTCTAAATGTCACATATGGTAACAAATATATTAATTGCCTCAATATGTAAAGTTATCTGCTTCTAATGCATTTATTTATTATTTTAATCTATCGTTAAATTAGTTGAAACGTTGGTTTTAGATGCAATTATCTGATCTGCCGCTATAGACACGTAGCTAAGAACATTGAACTATGTATTAGGGACAAATAGAATTGTCTTTAAAAGTTTCATCTTGCACAAGTAAATAAAAATGGCAGTGGTGGCATCCCATGATCCCAATCTCACCTACTTGATCTCAGTCCGCCGACAGCCCGGTGATAGTCCGACGGGTGGTCTGGCGAGGTTGCGGTAGCAACATAAACAATGGAACAACTACTCATATTGACTATGGTGATGGTGGATGGACTTGGTAGTTTTTCATTTCTAGGACTGTTGTACTGATCAAATTAATGGATTTAGTAATTTTTTAGTCCATTACTATCTTCAAGTTGTACTGTTTCTGCCATTTTTTGTACATGAATGAATAAGAAGCAAATTTGTGTTTCTTCCTTTCACGGAAATTGCAGGTTTTTTAACTATATAGTTATCAAAAAATTAAAAAAAAAATATTAAAATGTATTGATTGATATTAGCCCAGAACCAAAAATTCAAAAGAGGAACGAAATTATTTGTCTTGGAAAAGTATATATTAGAAGCAAATATTAATGTCTCCATATAGTTATATAGTTTTACAGAAGCAAATATAATTGTATCGAATTCAGTCAATCTGTCTCTACAAGGATTTAACAAGACAAAAAAACTTACTTTTAAAGTAGAATTACCATCAAATAAATTTGTCTCTAATACTTTAATTAGTAGCAAATATTATTTGTCTCTACGTTTGTCTCTAAAAGGAATTAGAGACAGAGGCGTCCGATGCAAATAAAATATTTGCCTCAATAGATATATAGAAACAAATAAAAGTTATTTGGGGTCAAATAACCTCTGCCTCTAATTCCAAGTTTTCTTGTAGTGAGATCTGGCATGTACCTGGGCACCGGGTGGGGCATTACACGGGCTAGCACGACACGATACGGTGAGAGCACATATACAAAATATATATGGCCAACCCGTTACGAGCAACAATAATTTATGGGTCGTGTCGGCCCTTAACTTCATGGGCGCAAGCACGACACGATTAATAAGTGGGCCGTGTTGGACCTAATATTTTTGAGACCCTATCGAATGTAAGCACGACATGATTCAAAAAGTATATTTTTATAAAAAATAAATATAATGAAATTTACAAGTTCAAATATTACAAAATACAACTACAAAAAATTCATTTATATTGTTATTAGAAGTGGTCATAAAGATATTAAATGCAATTACTACCATAAATAAAATTGTCGAAGAATAAAAAACACATGAAGGTAAAATCACACCGTTATACTTCCATTGCTAATTGAAACAAATATTCTATCTCTTCCTCGAAGAGGTGAATCAGAAATAAGATTTCCATGTCCAAAATTCATTCTCAATTAATACTTTCATTATCTGTCAAATTTTCTCTTCCTTTTCCATTCTCTCTTTTATTTTCTTCCTTTCATTAAGCATGAATATGAGCAAGGCACGAGCAAAAATAGGCACGACACGTTTAAATCATGTACGGGCCCGGATCTGGTAAATTTGAAAAATGAGTTGTCATGACATGAAAACCGACGGGTCATACCAAACACGACATGAGATAAACGAGCTCGAAACTTATCCATATCGTGCCTGCCCAAACATGACTTTAGCACCCAGGTTCAATCCAACATAGTTTCAAAAACATGCATGAGTATTTCCATTAAGAGGAATTCACCGTTGGTTGGTTTATTATGCTCTTGATGCATTTACATTGTTCTATCACTTTGAAAAAAAAATTCTTTAACACCTACCGACAGGTTTTAAGTTTTAACCACTTGCTCGTATAAATTTCTCGATACTCATCAGTGGGTGAGGTTGTAAAGAAGGAACGGGAACTGGGTTTGTTGAAAGACCAGATTCGGGAGCGTGGCTGGGATCTTCAGGGCAAAGAGAAGGAGCTAGGGCTTCGGCAGAGGGCGTTGAATGAGATAGGCTGGGAAATTCGTGAAAGATAAATGATAGTGTTTGCAATGGTAGTGTTAATTGGTATGTTTGCAATGTGAAGAGGAATGGTAGTGTTAATTGGTATGTTTGCAATGGTAGTGTTCCAGTTTTATGCAATGGTAGTGTTCCAGTTTTGGAAGTGTTCATTGGATTTTTTGTGTGTTCATTGGTATGTTTGCAATGACGGAAATTCATACAAAACTAATCAGACACAACAATACGTTGCACAATAAGGCAAAATCAATACCATTTCAATAATGATAATCACAATACCAATACCAATACCAATACCAATACCAATACCAATCCAATTCATACCACCAGAATCAATCCAATATTAAATTTGTACCAATACAATCTGTACAGATTTAAGACAACTATCAATGCAGATCACTATCAGTGCAGCCATACAAAGTGATTAACACTACCAATCCAAACCTCACAGAACCTTACGATGGTTTAATTGTTGTAATAATTGCTTTTCATAATTATCTCTCCCTAATTATCACGTAATTAATAGTAAAATATCATTTCTATCCTTAGTAGCCACGGTGATTACTAATACCAAGTAATCACCATAACCTGTCCCGTGATAGTAGATTCATAAGTAAGAAGAAGAAAACAAATCTAATTTGAAAAGAGAACCCCGAAAGTCACATTTAGTGCCAGCTTTTACTTGTGTTAGTTTTTGGATCCTTCCAAAAAGTAAGTGCCCGCGCCTAAAGAGATCAAAAGATTATTTAAAAGATAAATGAAATTAAGAAGTTTAGCAAAGATGATAGGATCATGTCACAAGATATTATAACTCCCCCACTTCTTAAAATAATGTTTCATATGTTGTCATTGGTTGCCATTTTCTCCTTGATGACCCACAAGCTTTTGGGTGGGGCATGTTTGGGATTTGGGTGATCTTGAGACAATAATATCGGCATCCCTTCAATCAACAACAAAGCTAAACACACATGATTAAGGTGGTGGACGTATAACTATGTAGCTAGCTAAGACTTAGGGGGCATCTAAACACATTAATGTTAATTGAAGTCTTAATCCTGATGTCGGTTAGTGTTGTGGTATATGATCCACG